AAGATATATAGGGACTTTGGTGCACCATTTACATTAAATCGGATGAAAATATATATGGGAGCTATATCTAAATCTGGACCGATTTTCAGGAAACTTAACACACATCAGTCTAGACCTAATTCATTACGCTGTACCAAATTTCGTGCAAATCGAAAGATATATAGGGACTTTGGCGGCCCATTTACATTAAATCGAACGAAAATATATATATATATATTTATATATATATATATATGGGAGCTATATCTAAATCTAAACCGATTTTCCCAATTTCAATAGGATTCGTCCTTGGGCCAACTAAGTGACCTATGCCAAATTTCATCCAAATCGGATCATAAATGCGACCTGTACTTTGTTCACAAAAATACATGGACGGATAGACGGACTTGCATAAATCGACTCAGAGAGTGATTCTATGCATATTCTTAAAAGGAACCATGGGTCTATCTCGATTCCTTTTGCCAGTTACAAACATATGCACAAAGACATAATATCCTGTACCACTGTGTAGTGAAGGATATAAAAAGTTTTCGTACGGACATCTGATATTCATTAAGAACCCAAAATATACGAAATTACAGCCAATTCGGTTGGAAAACGTGTTCAAAATCTTTTAAATACCGAATATTGGGGGTAACGCTGTGTGGGGGCTACACCAAAGCAAGGACCGATATATCCCATTTGCACCACCAAATATCCTTGGAGTACTAGCAATGCCTGTGTGAAATTTCAGAACTCTATATTAAATATTGCCATGTCTATTGTAATATCAACAGACAGTCGAACATGCGTACATCGAAGTCGAATTTTATTCTGATCATGAATATACGTACGTTGTGGGGGTCTCCGGTGAATAATTCGAAGTTTCGCATACCTAGTGACAAATTTAATATACCTTCCACCTTATGGTTGAGCTTATAAAAATATTAAATTTTAGTAAATTTCTTTGGAAAAACGAGCCCCATCTCCTCAAAATACAGAAATTTGCGAGGTACCGTTACATTGGGATTGCACGAAGAAATCGGCAAATTTTTTTATACTTTTTGGTACAACGATTGTCTACCCAATGAGTATCCAAAATTACAGACAATTCAGTTGAAAATTTATGCTTAAGAAAAATATATACATTTTCGGAGTCTCCGCCGAATACCATGAAGTGTTGCAAAGAAAATGACAATATTAAGATACACTCTACCATAGGTTCGGGGGGTATAAATACTCACATTCCAACTGACATCGGAATTCCTTCATCATTTCGATTATTGGACACATACATGTCATATACATCAAATACAAATTACTGTACCTGCATTAAAAAATCGTTTATGTGAGTGTGTGTGTGTGTTTATCTATCCAAGTGTCATTTTTCTAATGTTTTTTTGTTTATCTAAGCAATTTACAAAAAAAAAATATATATATATATATATATTTCGAAAACAAAACATAATTAACATAACACAAAACATTATTTGATGTTGTGTTAGACATGTTTTGAAATGGGATGGATGCCAACAAAGACAGAAATCTTTCTTGCATAAAGAGATGTGTTTCTCCTGATCATTTTCGATGGATACTGAATGGTGTTTTGTTTACATATTTATGTTAATAATTTTCCATAGACAAAAAAAACGTCAACATTCTCTCGATTCCCTTCAAAAACGAAGATTGACAGGTTTCCATTAACTTTTAACACACAAAAAATTTAAACTATTTATTATGACATCTGTAGACTTTTTTCCTCTCTTCATTTAACAGGTTGTTTATTAAATTAACTACGAACCCTTAAAAAAACTTCTCTCTCTCCAAAAAAGTTCCCTTGCAATTGGTTTTTTTCCGTTAATGAAATTTCACTTTTTTCCAAACTTGTTCCACAGAAAACAAAAAAAATGTATGTTAATTTCAGCGCAAGAAAAAACAAATTCTTGCAAAGTTTGTGTTTTTTTGCTGTCGACAACAAAATTTCCAAGAAGCACCTGTGTGTAGTTGTATTTTTGCTGACCATAGCATAATTGTTGGTAATTTCTATGGGTTTGAAAAAAAAACAGAATTGAAACTTTTTTTGTTTGAACCACCAGCATTTAATGAGTAAGGTATTTTGTTTTTGTATAGCTTGTTTTTTTATTTATGCATTTTAAGCGCAAACAAAAACTTGTTGCTAATATTGTCGATCCATCTCAGCTCTCCATGCCGTGTGGTCGTCATCATTTTTTGTGACTTAAAAGGTTTTTGCTTTGCCGTTGTTTTTTTTTATTATTTCAATTTCAACTTCACACAAGTGGGTGATATTTGCCATCTTCAACGTTTATCTCTTGGCCTTTTAATGGTCATAAGAAGTTGTTGTTGTTGATTGTACATTATCATATTCTTTGATATGTTGTTGTATGTCTCGGTTGAATGGCCAGTCGCCTTCTCTTTGTGTGTCATGTGCTACTTTTGAAAGTTGTTTTTTTTTTGTTGCTGCTGTCGGAATTCTTCTTCGTAGGTTTTTTGTTTCTGCATCTTGGAAGAGGATCTGAAATGGAATATTGACTTTTTTTAATATCAAAGATGTAGTATTTTATTTTTTTGAGTGAAACAAAAACGAAAGTTTTTTTTTGGGATGAAAATAAAACACATCTTCCAACAATAACCTGAATAAAAACTACAAAAAAAGAAAAACAAAATTTATATTGATGAAAATTCACTTTAAACAAAAAGTAAACAAATATTTAAAATAAATCCCAGGGAATAAAATCTTAAAAAAATTTCCTACAAATGTGTCTTAACCTATAAATTCGGTGATAAATTGATCTATAACAATTGATCTATAACTAGTCGGCTAATCCAAAATAATTAATTAACTCCACTGGTTTAATAGTATAGAAAAACCTCAAAATCTCTGGTCTCCTACAAAATTGATTCCACGATATGGATTTCACATCCAATTTTTTTCATGCCGAATTTTGTCCTGTGAACTCAATTTGTTTCCACGATATGGATTTCACGTCCAATTTTTTCATGCCGAATTTAGTCTTGTGAACTCAATTTGTTGCCACTCTCTTAAAGTGATTTCATTTTACTCTATTAGAAATAAGGTTTGTTTCTTAAGTCTTTTTCTGTAGTTATTTTGTTCACCAATATCAGTTTCTTTCTACACTGGAGGATAGTATTTTTTGATTCCACGATATGGATTTAACATCCAATTTTTTACATGCCTAAATTTATCTTAGAGTTTTTATTAAATCGCTTTGTTTTTCCCTATGAGAGTTTATTTTATTTAGAATCTATTATGGTGTGTGTCTTTCTCCACTGAACTCAATTTTTTGCCACTCTCTTAGGAGAGATTTCATTTTACTCCATTTTAAATAAGGTTTGTTTCTTAAGTCTTTTTCTGTAGTTTTTTTATTCACCAATACCAGTTTCTATGCTCTGAGAGTATCATTCTACACTCTCAGAGCATATATTCCGTTAGAAATAAAGTTTATTTCTTAAGTCTTTTAGTTTGAGCGACGTCATTATCTTGAGTGGGAGGGAGAGTATTTTGCCATACTCAGATAAATGAGAGTCAATAAAGGGTTGTGATGAAATCCATGTTTGTAACTTAAGTCTTTAGTTTTGAATGGCACTATTTTCCGTTAATTTACGTTTAAGAGAGTATTTAAAGATGCTCTGAGAAAACATTCTCTATTAATTTGAGAGAAAAAAATATGTTAGATTACAGCAGTGTTGAACAGAACTAAATTAAGAGTAAGTGTGTGAGAGCAAAACTGAGAGATCATCAACAAAAATTACTGACGAAAAGAGAGGAAAAGAGAAAACGTGTTTAGCCATCACCGCTACCGTACTATTTTGTGCATTAGTGGATTACAGATAAAAATGCTGAATTTTGTAAAGAGAAATTGAATAAGGGAGAGAATATTTATTTGTAATCAATTGTGTAAATTTCAATCAAAGAGAAATGTGATAACTCCACTACAACAACAACAAAATCATTATTTTTTGGATTTTTGTTTGCATAGAAAAACAAAATCCATAAATTCAAACTAATTTAAATAAATTATTTTATTACAGAAATTTCAAAATTAATAAACATGATATAAATCCGTGCAAAAGAAGAGGAACCTTCAAAAAAACTAATACCTCAAAGAGATTTTCTCTCTTTATTTTGTTACACCCTTTACAACCCTGCCTATAGAAATCCTAAACAAAATGATTAAATTTCGTTACAAACGTAAAGAACCAACAAATATTGTTGGTTCGAGTGGTGATAAAACGCAAACCAGCAATAATAATAGCAACGGCACCAAATCATCATCCAGCGGTAGTAGCAATACTAATAACTCACCCATCTCAACCATATCCAAACCGGATGATTGTAAAGAAAATTGTAAACCAATATCGATAATACCTTTGCAAAAAAGTAGCAGTTGCAGTAATGCCTCAAATGGTCTCAAATCGCCCATGTCATCGCAATTGGTGACCAGCGCACCAATAAGTATTGTAAATTCCACCTCGCAAATGTTACAATATCCACAACATTGTCAAATGGTGTTGTCGGTGGGTGGTGGCGGTACTTTGCCACGTAGTACCCCCAAGAAGGCCATTATGGATCCAAGGGATGGCCACAAATCGGCCACATTAACGAGGCAATCGAATACCTTGCAGAATAATCGTAAACTATTACCATCATTGGCCAAGGTGGCATCGACAGCGGAATTGGCCGGTATGGGCTATGGAAAAAGCAATCAAATGAACAACAACAGCAGCAGTTTGAGTAGTGGCATTATTTTAAGTCCGGAAAATATTGCCGAACGGGATCGTTGTATTAATGCAGTTATTGTGAGTAGTAAAGAAAAAGAAAAAGAAAAACAAAAAAATAAAAATTAATTTTAAAATTACTGTAAAATTTATGAAAATCCCACACAAATCATGACAATGCATTTTTATACAAATTATAAAAATATTTTTTTCCACATATTTTCTTTATAAAATATTTAATAAATTAATTTGTTTCTCTACAGGAACTTTTCCAACAATTACAAACCAGCTCCGAACCGGCCTTGTGCCCTGAACCTCTGCGCCGTGCCTTGGCCTCTGGCCCATTGGCTGGACGCCGTTTCCCTTTGGGTTGTTTGGGTGATGCTGCCGAATGTTTTGAACTGCTACTGCATCGTGTCCACTCCCATATCTCGGCAGATGATAGTGACGCATGTGAGTCACAGGCCTGCATTGCCCATAGACGTTTTGCCATGCGTGTCATTGAACAAAGTGTGTGCAAATGTGGTGCCAATTCCGAGCAGTTGCCATTTACTCAGGTAAGTTAGAAACTAAAATAAAAAAAAATATATAATTTTGGAAAATTTAACAGATCTCAAAAAGGAGAAAATAAATGAAAGATTTGTAATTTGAATGCATTTCTTATAAGTTATACATTTTAGTATTGAAAAAAAGTATTGTTTTTTAATTTTCGAAAATTTGACTAACTCCGAAAAGAATAATATTAAAAAAAGAAAATACAATTTAAATAAATTTCTTATAAAGTATACATTTTTGTATTGAAAAAATCTTAAAATTTTCGAGGATTTCATTTTTATGGGATTGAAGTGCTATTTTCAATAAAGTTTGAATGCTTCGAACGATATATGTTATGTTTCTTGAAAATCCTGCGATTTTGGCCGTATGAATATTTTTAATTGACCATCACTCTTAAACGGTTAGATGTGCAAATAAAATGGTTCAGTGGAAAATGGCAAACAAAGAAATATTTTTTAAATTTACATTTAAAATTTAAATACCCATAAATTGCTTACGTAAATTCTTAAACAATTTATAGATATTCTCAGCTATAAGAAGTATTTATTTTTTCCACTTAAAATCCCCCTCAAAGATATTTGTTTATAATAAATCACTTTAGCATCGCCCGCATTTAATTTGAAAATATCAACAGTTCCGGTCTTAAGCCTTTTGTGTTTATTTGCATTGTGTTTTTTTTTTTTTGCGAAAATACAACAATTGTTTTGTTTGCTTTAAAAATCATTATTTCATCTTACGTTAGCAAACATCTCACATTTGATCAAAATCTATAAAAAGTCTGCAAATATTTTTTTATTTACTTTGCACTTAAACTGATTGTCACCCACGCGACTCATTAGATCAATAAAAACAAATCAACAAAAACTTAAAATAAACAAAAAAACTTGTATTGATAAAAATCAACTAAAATTGTTTGCCATGGTTCTTAGCTTTATTTTTTTGTGCAACTTTTATGTGTTCTTGACATTACAATCGAATTTTTGTTTCAAGTTTAGTACTCGATAGACTGAAAACTTGTTTTCATGTGAGGTGTTTCAAGTAGTCATGGGAGCCTGAGAAAAACAAAAATAATTTTTAATTGCCGTTTTCTTTTTTGGATGAAAAAATAGTTGCCGTGAAAAAAAATAACAACAATCAAAATTTTATTTAATTTCCAAAGGAACTTTCTGGTTTAAAATCGTAAAATACTTAATTTTTAAGGCTGCTGCGATATCTGTGGAATACAAAATCTATTAAAAATATGCATATTGTGTTCTTTTAAATAAATCAAGATTTTGTTATTTATATATTAACGCTAAATTTTCATATTATGCTGAAATAGGTAGTGCATTGCATTCAAAGAAAGGGAAAGAGGGACATAGAGCAAATGGTATATTTTGAAATATTTCTATCAATTATCTCCAATCGTAGTATTTACAGCAAAGCTCTCTTTAATTGCTAAAATTATTTAAAAATAAGGTTTGTGTCTTAAGCCTTTTGATTTTATCTCGAGAGAGATAATACCGCATAAAGAAGAGAGGGCAAGTGATATATCTTGTAAGAATTTTATTAACGGTCTCATCAAGGCAATACAATTGCATTCAGAGGGATAGGGAGAGTGAGAGAGAGAAAGAGAGAGAAACATCTAAGTCATTTTTAGTATTTTATATTAGATTCACTTATTTATATGAACATCATGTTTGTGTCTTAAGTCTTTTGTTTTCCTTTGAGTTTGATAGATGATTAAATTAAATTCTGCTAGAGATTTTCCTTAGTTTTTCGGCAAGCAAAACTCTGTTTTTGTGAACCACTTATTTACAAATAGTGTTCGTGTCTTAAGTCTTTAAATTTAACTTGTTTTCTTTCAGTTTAAGAGAGGCTCTCCTTACTAATGGCATTATAGCTCTCTATATGGATTTGATTTATTTAATGTTCATGTCTCATTA